CTACTACTACTACTACTACTACTACTACTACTACTACTACTACTACTACTACTACTATACCACTACCACTACCACTACTGCTACTGCTACTACTACGAATACTAATAATAATAATAATACCACTACCACTACAACTACCACTGCCACTGCTGCTGCTGCTGGTGCTAGTGTTCCTGCAACATGCGACAAACTCAAACTCAGGTTCGCGATTCAGGTGTGCACCAGCGACCACTTGCTACACCCTTCTATAGAACCTCTTTTGTTGGCCAGGGCGGGCGGCGGCAGTGAAAAAAACAAGTGTGCACGTTTGACTCTGTTCACTCCGGACTGTATGTCATTAAGTGGCATTATTAAAAAAAAATATATATATGCATGCTGCACTCCCTAAAATAATGATGGAAGAAGCAGAAAATGGCCCGTCTACAAACAGGTTGTTTTCCACGTCCTTTTCAGGTAATGTATCAGAAACTTGCCAGCACAAACCCCTGGTATATAGACTAATAGAGGCAAATCGTCTTAATAAGAACTTTAAAAAGTGAGAAACACACATGCAATCACATACAGCATACTTGCATATTTGATCCATGCTGCGAGTGCAACCCCCAAGACTTTCCAACAACGTCACTGCCAAGAAAGAGCTAGACCAAAACAGCCCCTGTTCTGCGGGGACCTAAAAACAAATCTGCATGGATCATGGTTTCCCCATATCCTCGAAGCCCGGTCTTACAAAGACTTCGGATCCTTTCGATTCCCTCTGTACCGTTGACTGATAAACTTCCAGAACGATCCGGACACCCGAATCACAACCAGGACCTGCGTGCCTGGGTTCCGTCTCCCCTGGGCTCTTCACATCCCAAGGAGCTCGGCACCGCGCGCAGGCGTCGACCGCGCCCGCAGCATCTCCAGCGCCCGCGGCGACCGGCGCGGCGCCGGCGACCGGCGTGGCGGAGCCCTGGGCCGCCACGGTCTCAGCGAGGGAGGCGCCGTAGTTGGGACGCTTCCTTATGGACACATGCGGAGCGAATTCCGTGGGTTCGAAGAACATGCGGAAGAAAGAAGACATCTCAAGACTTATATCTATTATATTTATATATATTAGGTCCAAGAAGGAAGATCAAGTTCGTTGATGTTCGTTGTGCCTTTGTTTATCAAAGCTGGTGCTGTTGATCTGCTGTTCATCAGCTTGGATTCACAAAGGATCTGCTACTGTTGGGTTTGCAAGGGGATGCAGGACTGATCACCCGGATCAGTGGGAGGCGGGATGCAAAGGTCGGTTGGGGTCACAGCCGCGAGCGTCAAGGACGGATGGGGGAGCAGCCCGCCCAATGACGCTCCGGAGCCAGGCAGCTCCAGCTGAGTTGATGCTGGCGTCCACTGGCTGAGTTTTGGCTGAGAACCGCAAGGTAAGGGATAAAAAGCTCCTTCAAAAAGCTCCGTGCGCTACTCACAGGCTTCAGGCTTCAGGAACGAATGGTGGAGGCCAGAAATGGCACTGGAACAGGAATCAGCCCTCAATTCGGCCGCAGGACTGTCACCTAAGAGGTGGGTGTCTTTGGAGTGTTCTGCGTCCGCTTTTTCTGCGTCATTTCCTGGGAAGTCGCGCTCCAATGGAGTGACCACCATCGTCGACAAACATCCTCAACATTACTCCTGTCTACAGAGATCTGTGCCTAGATTATATACTGTACATATATGTACAGAATTGCTCTGCATAGGTACTACGTACATCTACGTACTGTATACTGACACCGTTTTTGAGGGGGAAAGCGATGAGCTGCTCATACAGCTTAGGACTCCTCTTGGCGCACTCGAGCTTGGGAGACATGTCTTGGAGGTTCTGGCCGCTCCCCTCTGGTCCCATCCCTTGGCACACTCCCCTCTCGCTGGGTATGGAGTTGATCACTTCGAACAAGAAGCTCAGCTCAGTTGATTTCAGTTGAACAGTGATTCATTGGGAGGGACACTGAAAATGGCCGACGATACCGATACCTGATACCTGCGTAACCATTTCGGCACAAAGATTGGCACAAGCAGGGGTTGTGGTCTACCAGGTGAATGGTCAAGCCGTCCTACTGCATCTCCTGCCAACACTCGCGTGTGAACACATAAATATATCCACCGCTTCATATGGTTTTCAGGTCATCTTGATTTCATCTTGTCATCTTAGATTCAACAACAACAACAAAATGACAGGTTACCGCTCACCCATCCTCCCCCGCCCCCCCAGAAAAGAAGAGAACCACCCCCTCCGGCCCATCATGGGCTCCTCCACCATGCCAACTATGGAGGCCGGCCAGATGGGGCGGCCAACACCACCGTCCAAGCGTCAGGTCCAACTCCATGACTCCCATCACGTCGTGAACCGACAAACTGCTCTCCTGCAGACCTGACCGGCTCTGCGCGACCACTGGACTCGTGCGGGGTTTCCCCCGGGGTCCGTTGGAAGAGAAGGAAGGGGTTTGACGTCCGCTTTTCGGGAGGCAAAGAGATGAGTCCGTGAACAAGTGGAGGAGACTTGATTCGAATGAGACAAATCTCAACAAAAGGTTGATGGAAAGAATTGGTGCACCAGCCATAAAGAGATTTCAAGCTACTCCATCTGATTGTCCCACATGTTCGATTCGATTCTTTTTTAGATGATGGGAGTTTCTCCATCGTAGCAAGCCACGTCACGTTAAAAGAAAAGGACTTTCCTGGGCCAATTCTGAATTCTGCCTGCTGGCGTATATCCAGGTCTAGAGGTGGGCAAGGAATATCCTTGATGGAGGGGTCGCCAGGATCTTCATCCAAACGGATCGTTTCACATGCTCGTAAAATCCATTTCTGGGGCTTTCAGTTCTGAACCAAACGAGCCGAGCCGGGTGGTGGGACAAAAAGAAGAAGTGGTGGAGCTCCAAAGACCGACCGCTCAATCTCATCTAAACCGCTCAATTCTGAAAAATCCAAAGCAGTTTAGAGATGCAATGAGAGTTTCACTCCCTGAAATCATAATGGAAGTGGAGTGAGTGAAAACCACCTGTTTTGGGAGGACAACGGTCCTCGGAACTTGCACCGGGAAGGAACGATTCTGTCCGAAAAACGTGTTGACGAAGCATGTTGCGTTCGAACTATGGTGGAAAAGTAGAGGGACAAAGGAGGAAGGAACTATAAGACTGTAAGATCTATCAAAATATCATGATTTGATAGCCCTTCGCTTCACAAGTCCCGGCTCACTCTTGGAGGGAATCTCACAGTGGTGTTTGGACAAAAGACTGGGGGGGCACCAACTCCTGTACCACCTACCCCAGAATCACCCAATCTCGTGGATACCAATGGGCCGAAAAATGGGTTCTCATGAAATGTCTATAGAACAAATTCTTCGACTGTGCAAATTTCCTTCTGTGGCTGAGCCAAGCGGAGCGCTCAACCGTGCTCAACCAGACCCTTCAAATTGATCCCAAAGACAAGCCTCTGGGCAACTGAAGGATTGGAGTAGCCAATACATGTGTATGATCCCATGAATCAAGGAGGGCTTGAACTGCACATCTCGCCCAAATTTCATTGGCCAACCCATGGGGAACTGCACATCCACCCTGCAGAGTTCCTCTCAACTTTTTTGGCTCAGAGATCGCAAGTGCGCACATCGGGTTTGAGGATTGACGCACACATGGGCTGAGAACAGATTCGAAGTGGTTGAAGTGATTACTACCAAAAGCCTCTCCACAAGTTCGTTGGTGAAAGATGTGATTTCTGCTTGGAGAAAAACCTCACCCTATTCCCTTTTGCCCAGAAAGCCACCTCATTGCGCATGGGGTGAAAAGAGAACCTGCAGGGATTGCATCCACGTGGAGAATATCTCACAGTGTCCGCGATCCGAGAGCATCTCCAGCTCTGGTTTGGAGCTGAGAAAAATGCGCCAGCGAAAAGCATTTGGGTGCGGGTCATGGAGGCCTATGCCCGGGCCAAAGGCCTTGGTCTTACTTTATTGTGCATCCCGTCCGCCTCAGCCTCGTCTTGTTGCCTCCACACCAACTCAACTTGCAGTCCTCACTTGGCCTTCTGCCCTTGCGTTTTGCTGCATCTTGCACCTCGCACCAACTCATGTCACACCGGCTCAGCTCACACCAACTCGTCTCACACCTCACTCCAACTCAACTCGCACCAACTCGTCATCTCACTCACTCACTGACTCACGCACGCACGCTCGCACGCACGCACGACCTGACCTGACCTGACCTGAGCTGACCTCACCCCACCTCACCCCACCTCACCTCTCTCTCTCTCACTCACAACAATATATACTGTAATACATGCATGTTCACCATTGTCCACCCATCCTTCACATCTCCGCTCCTCATCCAATTCTTCACATCTGCTTGCTTCTTCCTCTTCCCTCCGCTTGTGCCAACACAATAGCTATCACAATAGCTCAAGACGGTGGGATGATCCGGTCCTTCAATTAAGGTTGGGCACCCCTATCCTCTCCTAGCAAGGTTCCATTGGAAAACTCCGCATGTTCGGGCAGCACAGGCTTGTCCATGACTCAGAGCCAAACTGTTCGACCTGAAGGGCCTCCACCTGGGTCAGAATCAGCCAGTATATTATATTCTACTTTATAAATATTATATTATATATTAGATTCTGTAGTATCCATATACTTAAACTTATGATGGTATTGGAGTTGTTCTCCCCAACTCCAGCAACTACCAGCGTCACACGTCTCAACCATCAAATTGTCACCAGTATATTACGGTATGTTGATTGATTGATATTGATTGTATAGAATCGCACCATTTGGGTGCGTAGTGGAACAGTGAGACCCTCCAACCAAAGGGTGAACTCGAGGTTTTGAGGCCTTAGACAGCAGGTCTGAATCCGTTGAATCCGTTGACCGGTCCCATCTGTTTGCTTCGACTCCTTGACCGTTCCTGCCCGAGGGGGTTGGAGGCCTTTCAATGCATTTTCCGGCATCTCACCTCAGGGTGGCTGCCAACGGGCCAAGGTGACTCCGCCTTTTCTCCGCGGACTATCCGTCCGTCGCGGGCGATCCGTACGTCGGTGTTCCTCGGTGACGTCTGGGACGGTTTGGTGCTTCGACTCCCCTTAGCTGTCGAGAAGACTAGATCAGTTGAAGCAGTTGAAGCAGCCCCCTGTTTGCGAACGTCAAACATCCCATGAATTTCACAGATGGAGCAACCACTCAACAAAATCCAGAGCTTGCTGAATCAACCAGAAAACTGGTGCTTTCTACTTGAGCTTGCTGGATCAAGATATGAGTCTCAGTCGTTGAAAAACGAAGATCCGGTAAAGTCACCCTGTGAAACCGACCTGGGACGTGGAAGACAGACTGTCTTCTTATTCGGCAATGCAGTCAACAGCTGAAGAAAGGCTCACGAGGCAATCGAATCGAACTCCTTCCAATCAACTCTCAGGACACACAGAGTTGCACCAAACAAAGGGGATTGGACGGCCCTTTAAACTATTCAGAATCGTTCAGAATGACTGGTGATAGATGGATACTGACAAACCTCAAACAACGAAATCTATTTGTCAGTCTTTGGGTAAGATCTAGACAGTATAATTGTGTCGTTTGCGTTTCCGACCAGTGGTGTCTTCCACGTCTTGTTGGTTTCGTGCGCTTTTGACAAACAAAACGTGCTGGACCCTCAGATTGAGGTGCTTCAAAAAGTTCTGTGGAAACGATACTGCCCTGCCATCCGCAATTCCACAAAACGATTCAGGGCTTCGACTGTGTTTCTGAAGGTCTTCACGTGGTCAGGGCTGCAGGGGCAATCAAATAGAGATGACAGGGCGATGTCTGATTCTCACAAATACTACATCCAGCGAATAGGGTGTTCGTCGCAAGCACATCATCACGAAAATTGCTTGCAAGAGGCATGGCAAATGACCTTCATACAAACTTGAGCTGCTATTTGGGCGCTGTCCATTTGGTTTGCTTGGGGATTGCATCAACTAAACTTGGTGTCCTGAACCAAAACCAACTAAAACAACTTCACAACCAATTTGTTGTTGCATCAACTGAACCAATTAAATAGACTTCACGCCCAATGTGACTGAAGAAGGTCAACCAACTAAATCAACTTCATGATCGATGTGTGTTGAATCAACTGAACCAACTAAACTAACTGCATGATCAATGTGTGTTGAATCATCCGAACCAATTTGAATCAACTCAACCAACTAAACCCCACCAGGATAGATCCCAATTTGCATCACATCTCACAGGTTCCCACGCCTCTGGTCTCAAGGACCCTCCGGAGCTGTGCCGGTCGGCGGCCAAACGCAGCGGCTCGATCGAGGGGGTGACGCTCGTGTTGAAACAGCGGTAACGGTTGGCGCGTGGAGGGACGGGTGTTTGCGCGTGTGGTTACGATGCCAGGACGACCAATCTGAGAAGTCGTGCTCCCCCAAGTCGGAGCCAACCCGAGCAGTTGCTGATCGTCTTTTCCCGCAATCTGCTCAGCCACTACGGTTCGTCCGGTTCGTGTCAGAATCAATGTCGGCAGGGTTTGCGCCGAAATCCGTAAGAGAGCTGAGTGTGGCGCAACCAGAACCACGCCATCTGTTTCTTATCTTCTCCATCTTATTCGGGTTGAGCTCTTGACACAAACAGAAACCCTCAAAACCCCATTTACTGTACATGTGAAGCTCGCCATCACTTGCACTTCGGATGTGGTCAGGTCTGAGCCCCACTCAGCTGCTCCGGTCCGGTCAGTGGCAAAACGTCGCAAGACTCATCGCATTCGACGAGCTCTTGACGCTTCGACGCATACGTTTTCAGAGAGTCCAATGACCGATGTTTCCCCCGGCCCATGATTTCCATACCCAAACATACCCAGACATATCCAGACCATCCATGGGACTGGAATAGTGACATCTAAATGTATATAGGTCATCAATGAACTACAGTATTCCTATCCCATGGAGGGTCTGGGACCCTGCCCTCATTGACTCACTGAGCACGTGGCTTCTGTGGCTGTTCGCGAGACCGAACGCTTCACCTACCGACGGATGATGGTTTGCTACGTGGGTGGACTGGTCGGGCTCCAAGTGTTGGAACCAGCTCCATCTCTTTGGATCGCATCGTTCGTTCAATTGGACTCCCAGTGTTAAAATGAAAGGAACCCCACGCGCGAGTCGAAGCCCACGGCCCGTTTTTGACACCGAGACACAGGGCGTGAGTACGTCGTGTTTTTTTATGCGGACGTGGTACTGCCTGGTTCCGAGATCCACATAGAACCTGCAAAACCACTGGGTTGCTGTCATTTGGGTATCCATGCTGTGGACAGGTGCTTTTCACTGGTCGGGCACATGGGTGACTTGCTGCAGTTTTCCCATCTGGGCGAGCTCACCCAGAGAAATCAATGGACGCACCAGAGGAAGAGC